TAATATTAAAAAAGTTAGGCTGGGTGCAGTGGCTCAAGTCTGTAATCCTAGATACTTGGGAAGCAGAGATCAGGAGGATCATGGCTAGAGGCCAACATGGGCAAAAAAATTTGCAAAACCCCCATTTCAACCCTTGCCTGGCATGATGACTTGCACTCGTTATCCAGCTGCACAGGGAAGCACAAATAGGAAGATCACTGTCCAGGCCACCCTGGTCATAAAGTGAGACCCTATCTCAAAAATACCAATGCACAGAGGGCTGGAGCAGTGACTCAAGTGATAGAGTGCCTGCCTTGCAAGTGCAGGGTCCTGAGTTCAAACCCCAGTCCCACCACATACACACAAAAAAGCAAGTCAGCATTATGCACTGCTCGATTACATTTTATAAAATATCTACATTCTGATAAACATAAAGGAGTCCATAAACAAAATAAAATGTGTGTTGGGATTGAGAATCACTTAAATTTTCATAGAGGATGGTTAATGGGTACATGTGTAGTTGGATAACAAGAATAACTTCTAATATTTCATAGCACAGTAGGGTAACTATGGTTAACAACAATTAATTGCATATTTTGAAATAGCTAGTAGAGAGGATTCTGAATGTTCCCAATACAAACAAATGATAAATCTTTGAGGTGATGGATATGCCAATTACCCTGATTTGTTTATTACACATTGTCCCCTATAAATATGTATAATTATGTGTCAATTAAAAAATTTAAAGATATTTAAAATATATGTATACTTTACTATAAAATTCATGTAACGTGCTAGAATAAAAGATGGAAGCATTTTAAAAGTATAATAAATTTTCTTTGTATTTCTTTCTGTATTTTCTGTAGTAGGAGGTAGAAACAATAGGTCATGACCGATCAGTGAATCATGGAGGGAAGTGAAGGGCAAGGAGAGAGTTGCTCAGTTGGCCTCCCTCCTACTTACCCATTCCGTTGCCACCACCATTCTACTGAATATTCTTACATGTTTGTTTGTTAAGTCAAGAGGACACCTTTCCACCCAATCTTAGCTGCCCTAAATGAGCTGTTTCTGACTCTCCTGGTTTCCTGCTAATTTCTGGGCTTCTCCATCTAATTATTGGCTCCTCTTTCTTCTTTCCATCCTTACATTTTGGCCTTCATGTGGATTTTTCTCTTCCTCCTCGTCCTGTGCTAGAAATTGAACCTAGGACATTGCATGCCAGGTAAGCTCTCTGTCACTGAGCAACACCCCCAGCCCATGTGGATGCTGCTCCTAAAACCTCTTCTCATTCTCCCTAGGTGCTCCCATCCACTCTCCTAGTCATGTTAGTTCCAGCTCATGTATCACTTACTACCAGAATCTCCACCAGAATGTCCTCTAAGCATCTCAAGTTTAACACGTCTCACCCTTAATTCTTTATTTTTCTCTTACCCACTTCCAGCTATCCCACTCTGTTCCTCTTCTTCTTCTTTTTTTTTAAATTATTTTTTACTAATCCTCTTCTTGCATCTCTACTGTGAGCAGATGGCACTTTCTTCAACCAGTTGCCTAGCTTCTGGAGCCATCCTTCGTTGCCTCCACTTTTTCCCTGCCTTTCACTTCCCTCTAATATCTATCCATTGATGTCACCTGTTGTTTCTACTTCCTTCTTAGCCCTAGGGTCTCTCTGCTTCTCTTCAACATTGAGGCACCATCAGCTCTTGCTTGTATTACTACCAAAGCCTCCTTGCTGGTCTGTCTCCTTCAGTCTTACCCTCTTATAGTCTATTATGGTCTGTTTATTTTTCCCATATAGCAGGGATACCTTTCTAAAATTCCCTTTAGTAATTGTTAAATAGCTATGATATTCTAGGTATTGTGCTAGGGCATAGTTGTAAACAAGATAAAATTTCCCCTTTCATGGAACTTACTTTTTAGTAAGTCTTGTAAGTTTTAGTGTGTGTGTGTGTGTGTGTGTAATAAACAGTAAATAAACACATGAGATAGTAAAAATGTGATAAGTGCCCAAAGAAAATAAAAGTAACGTGATAGTGATGGAGGTAAGAGAGCTAGAATAAACTCTGGAGTTTATTCTAAACTCCAGCCAGACAGAACTTGTGATTTCTCCCAAGTGCTTTACTTACTTTGCCTGTGCCTATTACTCTTCTTTATCTGGCTAACTCCTACTTGTCCTCAGGTCTGCTGCTTAAGTGTCATTATCTCCTGGCAGATAGCCTGGAGGCTATCTCAAATGCTTCCTCTGTGTCCCCAAGAGTGTAACACTTTCACTATAGCACCAATCACCCCGTACTGTAATTTTCTGGTGACTTGTCTGTTTCTGATAGATTTCCCTCCAAGTCAATGACTTTCAGATGTTTTGACCATGGTCTACAGTAAGAAAAACTTTATATAACAATGCAGTGTGCATACACATATAAGCATATATATCTATATATCTATATCCATATACATACTGGGAGTACTGGGGTTTGAATTCAGGACTCACGCTTGCTAGGCAGGCACTCTACCACTTGAACCATTCCACCAACCCTACCAAATGTCTCAAAAACAGTATTTATTCTCACTATATATGATGCATATGAATATCTTTATTCTACTGTATTTAATTTAAAAAGTAGTGTGTGGTCTGTGGTGTGACTCAAGTGATAAAGTACTTGCCCAGCAAGCATGAAGCCTGAGTTCAAGCCCTAGTACAACTAAAATATAAATTAAAAAAAATAATGTGGAATTTAGGTGGTACTGGGGTTTGAACTCAGGACCTTGAGTTACTAATATGGAATTTCGGAAAAATGTTTTGTTTTGTTTTCTGGCCAAGAAGATGGTGAAAAGTACTGTTTACCTTCAATCCACCAGGAAGCTAGACTTTCCCTTTTTGGCTGTAGGGGCCAAAGCCTGAGAGGAAAGATGAGGAGGGAGGGTGGAAAACATGGGTGGGAGAAGTAGATAAGCGATATAATTAGTAGATAAGCCATATAATGAGGAAATAAACAATAGTATGAGTTCCTACCATGTGCCAGGCAACTGAAACAGTAGATAAGGAATTACAAGTGTGAGAAAGGGGAAATCCAATGTGGTTTGAGACCTTAAGGGGGGTGTCTAGTTTCCAAGTGTGTCTGGAAATGCCTCCTTTCCTAAGGAAGTGAAGGCTGAGTAGGAATTAGTTGAGCAAGGAAATGGGATATTCCACAAGGAGGGAGTACATGTCTTTAGTCAGAGGTGTCTGACTGGAGGGCAGAGAGGGGTGAAAAGTGGTATGAGATCAGTCTGCAGAGGTAGGCAGGATCACATCAAAAAAAGCATTATAGCTGGTGGAGTGGCTCAAGCGGTAGAATGCCTTCCTAGCAAGCTCGAGGCCCTGAGTTCAAACCCCAATACCGCCAAAAAAAAACAAACAAAAAAAACACTAAAATGTAGATCTAAGTACCAGTTCACTGAAACTAAAGAAAATAAATGAACAAATAAAAACAAAACCTGAGGAAATAATCAGCCAGTTATTATCAGAATGAAGAGCATTGTACTGGACAAGTAATCCAGGTTCTCATCAAATCAGTGACATGAAAATAAAAAAGAATAAAAATCTATCATAGAATAAAGAAGGCGCAAGAGGCATAACAGTCAAAAGCAATGTGTGGGTGTCAGTTATTTCTTGATTGAAACCAACTAACTGTGCAAGGCATCTTTGACTATGGAATCAGCCTAAGTGTTCATTAACCAATGAATAAATAAAGAAAATGTCAAGTATGTGAAAAAAAAAAAAGAAAGGCATCTTTGAGACAAGGGAAGACATTTTTATAAGAACTGGATACTATAAGACATTAAAGAGTTACCATCAACTTCATTGAGTATGAGATTGGCATCATGGTTTCATTTTTAAGAGCCCTTTGTTATAGTGCATATAAGTGACGACTAATATCTGGGGTGTGCTTTAAAATATCCTGGAAGAAAGAAACCTGATGGTAAATGTTGAAGCTGGGTGATGGGTATAAAGAAATTCATTATACTCAGTGTCTGGGTTTTTGTGTATATTTCAAAACTTAGATGATATAAAATGAATGACAGGATGAGTGGCACCTTATAAGTCATACTAGGGAGTCTAAACTTGTTTTTTAACTTTTTAGTTAGAAATAATTTTGATGAATTGCAAAATTAGTAGAATGTTTCCATATGCCCTCACTAACTTCCTCTAAGGTTACATCTTATACAACCACGTCATGTTAATCAAATATAATACCATTGACTAAACTACAGACTTTAGTCAGATCTCTCGAGCTTTTCCACAAATGTCTTTTCTTTTTTTTCTGTCCAGGATTCAATCAGGATATCACACAGCATTTAGTCTTCATGTCTTTTTATCTCTTCATTCTGTCGCAGTTTTCAGATGTATTTTAGAAGGAATCCTTTTGTTGCAATGTGGAGATGAGATATGGTGGAGATGGAAGTGGGATTGGACAGAAATGGATGGATTTGAGTGATTTTAGGGGACCAATTCAGCAGTAGTTGTTTGTTGAATGGATATGTCGAATATGAAAAATGAGAGAAAGTGGAGTTGGGTGGCTGGAGCCTTTCACTGAATCCAAACCAAAGGGTCTGTGTGTCCCTAGGTCGTTGTCTGCTTTCCTGCTCCACTAGTGAGAAGCCGCTCTGCTTCTTGGTCTTTCCTTGTCTTGGGGTAGAGCCCTGAGGGTTACTGGGGCTGGAAAACGACTTACCGACATATAAAGAGGGAGAGAAATTTGGGATTATCAGGGAAGGTTGGCATCCCAGAAACTGACGGACCTATGAACTACTGAAAGAGGCTGGAAGAAAATCATCTCTAAATCCTTCTCTCCTTTCCCTGCATAATGACCCACTTATGAGTAATCAAAGTTTAATCAAAGTATCAATGACTCAGTGGTTTCAAACAATTAATTTTATTTACCTTTTCGTGTTCTGCCAACCATTCTCCCCTTGAGCCTTGAGCGTTTCCTGTTTTCCTTCAGGAGGCATGTTTGGGGAGTGGGTGGCCTGCTACCATCTCAGCATCATCTCCGCCGGCGGCTCCCCCGCCCAGTTTTCTTTTCTCCTCGGCGCCTCCGGGCGGGAGTAGGAGGAGCGGCCGGAGTTGGGGCTGGGGGCGCTGGGTCCGGCGCCCGGCGGGCCCCGCTGCCTTGCGCAGGCTTGTAGATCAGATGGAAGATGAAGGCGTTGCAGTACCTGCGAGAGGCGCGTGGGCGCGGTCGGGGGCGGGGCTACGACCGGGGCGGGGCTTGTTCCCGGGGGCGGGGCTAGACTTTTGACTCCGCTGGCTGGAGGGCTAGGGTGACGGGCCTGGAGATTTCTTGAGCTGGGTCTAAAGGGCTTCCTGTTGTCGAGACCAGAGCGGGATATGAAAAGTGGTAACAGAGAAGGCGGGTTGTAGGACTGGGGTCCGGAGGGTTCCAAGGACTGCAGAGACCTTTTAGGATGTAGAGAGTAAGAGAAGATATGGGTCAGGAGAGAAATAGGGAGGAAGGTCATTGTCCCTTACCAGGGCATGCAGTTGTCGGCCGCTCTGAGGCGAAAGGGGGAACGAAAAGGGTTGGGTTGTGGAGAGCTGGTGCCCCCTCCCGTGGCCACGGCCATGGTCTGGTCGTCCATCACGCAGCCATACTCGCTGCTCTCGGTGAAGAAAGCCGGGACTCTGAAGGACTAAGTATGGGGAGGAGCCGGGCCTCAGAGACTTCCTGGGAAGCTTTTCCCCCAGATACATCCCAAGGCTCCCAAGGCCTTCCCCGCACTCCTATGGCAGACAGGGTTGAAAACGAGGACCCCAAAACAGACTGGGATGCTGAAGAGACATGAGGCAGACACAGAGAAGGACAAGAGGACCTGTAGATGGTCTTTAGGTCTGTGTTTCAGTTGAGGGAGGAAGAGGAGAGTTCAAAGTCTTTCAAAGAAGGAAGAAAGGGGGCTGGGCCGGTGAGATTCCCCACCTGTAACCTGGGCAGAGAGCTTAGCCACGTGTCCTTGAGACCAAAACCAGAGTTGAATCCTGCACAGGAAGAGCATGTGGAGATGCTGGCCCCTTGGTCGTCTCTCTTACTTTTTCCACACCTCTATCCCTGAGCTTTGCCCAGGCTCTTACCAATAACCAGGTCAGGTTTGGGCCCCTGAAGCAGGTGGTAGGGCCTGGCTGACACCTTGATCTGTAGATCCCTGCGGCCCCCTTTCTCTTTGGTCCCAGAGTTGAGCCGTGCTGATACCCCTGAACCAGGACGGACAGACACCTCAGGGCCATCCTGTAGGGCCAGGAATGAGGGGAGGAAGCCACAGGAAGTTGGTGTTGGAGGATGCACCACCAAAGACAGAGGAAAAGGGAGAGGAAGGGTAGGCCCTATCAGGGGGCCTCCAGAGGGATCAAAGCTGAAGAGCAGGGCCCTCCTAAAGCCCTCACCCTCTGCAGGGTGAAATGCTGCTGGTCACTCTCCAGGGGCAGGCCATCACCCACAAACTGCAGTTCCAGGGCCACATGGGGGAGCAGAACCAGGAGCTCCTGAAGAACAGAAGGATAGGTCTGGGTCCTGCCATGTGTCCATCCCCACACCCAGTGCCTAGTCTTCAGTCCTGGACTCACCCAAAACACCATGACAAGGTCAAACTCCTTCCCAGCTTCCACCACATGGATTTTCAGCGACTGCTTGTTCTGAATATTGAGCTCAGGGACTGGTGTGAAACCGGCTTGTTAAGGATATGGTTTCTCTTACTACCCACCTTCCCTTCCATCCCCCGCCCCCCATCCTGCCTTGCACTCCTTACAGGACTGGGGAACCAAGTGGGTGATGACGTAGTACACTGTCAGTGGGTAAGTGAGAAGCACAGCCAGGGGAGAGTCGAGGCTGAGGCCTCGCCATGTGTAGTAATCCTGCCACGAGCCTGGAGAGAGTAGGTTACTGGGGGACCCAACCTCAGGATTGAACCCCAACCTCTCTGGCCTAATAGCCCCTTTCTCAGCCCTCCCCCCCTAGGATTCTGGGCTTCCCATCCCTGTCCCAACCCCTAGCTCACCAAAGAGGCTCCTGGGTGGATCTAAGGGTACTGGAGGCATCAAGGAAGGCCCATCTCCCTGGAGAAGCTGGTAGGGATCTCCTAAGAGGACGAAAAAGAGAAGTGGGGCCTGAGGTCTGGAAAGCCTTCCTTGCCCCATCTTCCTGTTCCTTCCACAGGGGCAGTGTTCCCTGAAAAAGGGCTTGGGGCTGCAGCAAGAGGAATGGGGTTTGCATAGGGACAGAGCTACTGGAAGGGGTGGATTGGGGCAACTATTTTGAGGACTGAGAAAGGCTTGTAATCTCCCTGACAATGTTGGCAGGGGTTGATGTGTATGTGGAGGTGTTATCTGAGACTTGACAGCTTTTTCTCTCCTACCCTTCCCTTTAGGCTGAGGGACCTGCCTGAGGACCATTCCTGACAGACAAGAGGACCCACGTACCATCGAGAAGAAGGTTGAGGGATGGTGTGCTTCCTCGAGGGTGCCTGGGGGTGCCAGACCCTGGAATCAGCATGCTGAGCTGGGTCCAGTAGCCACGAGTAAGGCCCCGAGAGGCCAGGAAGGCTTCTTTGTTAAAAGTTTCACTGGTGACCTCTGCAGAAGGATGAGGGATGGGGATGAGAGATGGGGGTGGCTGGACCCCAGGACCTGCTTCCCCATGGACTCTGGGTCTGAATCTGGTTCTAGTCAGGGTGAGAATGATCATGTCTGAGTGTCTAAAGTGTGTCAGACACTGAGCCCACATCATCCTTGTATCAATTCCATGGGATTTTACATTTGTTAATATTCCTCTTTTACAGATGAGGAAACTGAGGCTCTCAGAAGTAAAGCATTTAAGGTCACACTGCTAGTTGGTGGTGGAGGTGGGAAGCATGCATTTGAATTCCTACCCTCAAATTCCGTAAGCAATCTTAGAGACCCAGGCACCCAGTCTTCTGCTTCAGATACCTTGTCTTTAGCCCCACGTCCTAACTCACCACCTCCCACCCCTCAAACCTCCAGCTGCAGCCTCAGCTAGGGATTCCAGGAATGTAGACTTAAGCCAAAAGCACTCAACCTTCAACCTCAGGACCTTTTTCCCAGCACCCAGACCCCAGTCTCAAAGCCCTAGTCCTACTGACCCCTTCCCCTCACTTTGGCCTCTTCATTGTACCTGCTGTGTAAGTGAAAGGCAGAGTTGCCAGTTCCCCTGCCCGCTCCATGAAAGCTGCAAGCCTTGGGCACCAAAATCGGTGGCTCACATCATCTGGGCATCGCCGCCAATCAGCCTGGAGACAAGTTTCTCCACAGTACAAGACAGCACTGCACTGGGGGCTGGGAGACACAGGCAGTGGTAGGACATAGTGTTAATCTCTGTAAATCCTGTTGGCTGTGCACCTGTTCTGCAACCACCCATATGTCATTTGGCCTGTTTGTCTGACTCCCTCTAACAGCTTGTTTCTTGTTTTTTCCATTTCTTCTTATCTCCCTGGCCTCCTCCTCCCTGTCTGGGCTCCCACTGGCCTGGTTTGCTTTGCCTCTGTTTGCTTGACTATTGGGATTTTTCTCTGACCTCCCCTGTGGGCTGCTCACCAGGGTGTCAACTTCACTTCAAAGCTGTGCTTGTGACAAACATGGCATGTTCGGCCCTCAGGGAGGCAAAGGTGAAGCCTGGTCGAGGACCCCATGTCCGCATAGGGCTCTTGGCTAACTTCACACCTAGCCTTGGGACCAGGTTCTCCAGCTCTCTGAATGGGGTGGGGACAGGATCAGGCTGTGAGGGGCTGAGGACTCTAGGCCCCAGCCTTCCCACCCTCTGATACTTCTGTACCGATGTAGCTGCGTGTCTCCCACAGTAAGCTGTCGAGGTTTTCGCGGGTCTCCAGAGCCCATGGGGCAGGCCATGCTATGGCAGAGGAGAGCATAGGCCCGAGGAGCCAGGTTCTCAGTCCTTGAGCCCCGGCCTGTACTTCCCTGAACTCCATCCATCAGCAGATCAATGCCCAAGATGGTGCCATGTTCATCTGTCACCAGTAAGAGGCAGGAAAGGGTGCAGGGGGCAGTCTCTGGGAAAGAGGGAAGAATTGGGGGATGCAGCAGGGGGCAAAGATGATCAGGGTCAAGGGTACCAAACTCAGATGCCTAAAGGAGCCAGACAAGTAAATAAAGGGGACTCGGGAGGAGGGGGGGTGTCCATCTAAAGGGGACAGCTGCTAAGCAGTGTCAGAACTGGCTTTATGCAGAAATATAGGCACCCTATCAGAACTTTAGGTTTTGGGATATGTGGCTCAAGTGGTGGAGCACCTGCCTAGCAAGTGCAGAGCCTGAGTCCAAACCCCAGCACTGCCTCTTTAAAACAAACAAGCAAACAACAACAAAAACCCAGAGCAAAAACAAAAAAACCACTTTAAGTTTTTTCTTGAGAGGGTATAAATCCAGACTTCTGGTTTTTTATTCCTTTCAATGTTTAAATATTGATTCAAATAAAAAAAATACTGCCTATGAAAACATATGTTCAGACCAGATCTGTCAAAGACCACAAGCTTATGACTTCTGACTGGGTTCTGAGTGGCTGTGGAACAATTCAATATGGGAAGATGGCTGGGTAGAGGGTAGGGCAGGGTCAGCCCTGGGTTCTTACCACTCCTCTGTCCCTTCCTCTTCTCGGTTCCAATTTCATCACTCCCTCTGTCTTCTAGGCAGCCATCATCATCACCTGCCTTCTGCTCAGTCACCTCTGGCTCACCTGCAGGCTTTGCTTCCTGGGGGCATTCTCTGTTGATAGGGGCTGGCTCTCCATCCTCCTGTGATTCTACCTTCTCTGTGCCTGCACCATCCTCCTCTCCATTCTCTTCTTCTTCATCTTCTTCCTCTCCCTCTTCTCCTTCCTCCCCATCCTCCAGGCTGACAAAGCTAACATAGGGACTCAGGTCTCTCAGGTGGAGTGGAGGTTCATCTCCTAGGAGTCTGGCAGCTCCCAGGCCTGATCCAGGGCCTGGCTCTCCCCCTTGACCAGACTGATGCCCACACTACGGTTGGGCAGGACATGGAGCACCCAAAGGGCAGAGTCCTGAGGCAGCCTCCTGATCTGAGCCTCCAGCTGTTGCCAATGGCCCTCAAGACTCGTCCCCACAGTACCCCTTTCTGCCACAAATTTGCGGAACCAGCCAAAGAGGAGAGCAGTGAAATCAAGGAACTCATCCCGGTATCCAGATACAAACTCCATGTCATCAGGTGCACAGGGCCTGAGCCCAGATTGAGCAGAGGAGGGGGCTATATGTTGAAGGACAGGGTAGTGAGGAGATTTTGGAGTGGGTCACAAAATGGGGAAGGGTGTAGGTTCAAGGGTCACTTCAGGTGACCCGATAAGTATTAGGAGTTGAAAATAGGGTTTTCAGGGATGAAGATGGAGTTTAAGGATGAAACAGGGCGGGGGGGGGGGGCTAGGTTATTAAGTGGATGATTAGGGTCGAGGATGAGCACTCAGGAATGAAATGGTATTTGGGGCTCAAAATTTGAGGACTCAAACACTCTAAAGGAAGGTCTGAATTAAGGGTAGAGATGAGGTGGGGCTAATCCTGTGGGGAAGGATTTTGGATCCGTTGGTCTGTGGGATATGGGAAGAGGAGATGGGCATCCCTTGGATTTGGATCGGTTTGGCGTCAGCTATCCCTTCCCGGCGGTCCCACTCCTCCGGTACCTGCAGCCGCCACTACTTTTCGAAGGTAAATACCTCGTGGGAGTGGTGGCGTCGTGACGTCAGGGCAGCCCGAGCCCACCGCCCGCTCCTCAGGTGGTCACGCCCCCGGGCTGGGTGCACCGGCAGCTGACTGCCCTGACCAGTGCGTGCTGGACTCTGAGGACCACTTCACTGGATCCCCTGGCGACGGAGCCCGGCCGGGAAGTGAAAGAGCATCCTGGAGCAGGTGGGAAGCTCTAGGGGATCACCACCCATTTCTCAGGTCCGCAGAGTGACTTGTGATGGCCAGAGGGAACTGGCATCCCCGAACCTAACCGCGTCATCTCTCTGGGCCACTGTCCGCCTACCCCTGCTGATCTCGCCCTGTAGCCCGAGTTTTCTTTCGGTTTCATCCACATTGCTGGCGGTCCCCTCGACGGGCTCTGGGCGCGGGGTGAGGAGCTCCGCCTCCAGGGGATCCCCGTCGCGGGAGGCAGCGCGGTGCGGCGCAGACGGTCGGTTCGGGACGGCGCGCGCCGGGCGGAGGAACGCAGCCGCCTCGCGCCCCCTCCCCAGCCGAAACTGTGCCGACGTCCCCCCCACCCCACCCCCGGCCTGGTCCTGAACCGCGGGGGGAGGGAGGACGGAAGGAACGAAAGTCATTGAGAAATCGGCGGTCCTCACATCCCGAGCCTGTCGGGGCGTCAGACAGGGCAGGGCGCGCTGTCTCCACATTGCCGAGCCCGGAGATGAGTCTGGACTGGGGACCCTTAGGTTCGTACTCCTCCTGCTCTTCCTGCTGACTTGGTCAGGTTAGTCATGGGCGGGCTGGGGGCGGGCTGGGCAGGAGTAAGGGGAAGGCTAACTGGGGACACCTGAGTCCAGTGGGGCTACGGACGTTTTTGGGTGTGTGTGTGATGTGGGTTAAACCCTGGTCTAGGGGAAAGGCTGCAAAAGGTGACTTGGAGGTTAAGTAGGCTGAGTAATAGCAGGGGAGGTTCTTGGCTGGAGAACTTGGGCTGACCACTCTATCCCGTTCAGGTAATGGCAACGAGGGCAGCGTCGCTGGAAGTTGTCACTGTGATAAAGAATCTCTTCGAGCTCCCCACCAAAGGTTAAGTTAGTGGACTATCTCCGAAAACACCTGAAAACCTACGATCGCTGTCGATCCTATGTCAGGTAATCTCCCTCACCGGAAGGGCAACGCCTCCTAGTTCCTACCTGACAGGTGCCTCAAGGACCCTCTGCAGTTAAACTTGAACTCCTTATGGGAACCTATCTAATCGTCCCTCCCGGTTTCACTTACCTGGGGATTTCCAGTCCAGCGGAAACAACTCTTTCTTCGGGTGACTGCACACCTTAGGAATGAGGAAAGCTTGGGAAGGGAAGGTGGGGCCCCAAGTGAGACCAGATTATTCCCCTCGCAGGTTCCAGCTACGTTCCCAGAGCGTGTGTGGGGGCAGCAATGACCAGTGGGTTCTTGAATTGGTGAGCTGCTTTGATCTCAGAGGTGAGAGTTTTTCCTCTTCTCAGGCCTGCCTCCAGGGCAGAACGGCATTTCCTTCTGCGTATCCCTTTCTCCCCTGACACTGCACATTCCTGGATCTTTCTAATTCTGGCCAAAATACTTTCACTTAAGTCCCTGTCTCCCAAACATCATTCACCATAACCTTTACGATTTCTGCGACTGTTGTACCGCACGCAGTATTATTTACATATATATATATATATTTTTTAAACTCAGGGACTCATGCTTGCAAGGCAGGCACTCTTAAAGCTTGAGTACTCCCCCAGCCTTTTTAGTGATTTTTTTTTTTTTTTGAGATAGTGGCTCCTACTCTTTGTCTTGGCTGGCGATGGCGATCTTTTGATCTCTGATTCTGAGTAGCTAAGATTACAGGTTGAAGCGACCGGCGCTAGCTTTAATATTTTCTTGAAATCGCCATTTTATGTTAATATATAACTAAAGTATATAATTTTTAAAAATATGTATTTTATGTATATTTAATCACTACTGATATTTCTTGAAATCACGTGAAGGCACTATTTTTGTTTTCCAATATTTTAAATAAAGTAGAAAGAACTGTACAGCTAATAACCTTATATGTACCATCTAGATCCTGCAATAACTATATTTCTATTTTATCTATATAATAAAGCAAAAATATTATAATACATTTACAGTATCAATTTTGTAGCATTTTACTATATTTGCTTTATTGCATTCCATTTCTCTACCCGCCATCACACCTTATTTTTTTATAATTTATTCATGTGTACATACATTGTTTGGGCCATTTCTCCCTCCGTCCCTGGCTCTCCATCTCCTCCCACCCCCCTCTCTTCCAGGCAGAAGCTGTTCTGTCTTTTTCCAATTCTGTGGGAGAGTAGACATGAGTAATAATAAGAAAGACAAAGCGTTTTTGCTAGTTGAGATTAGGATAGCTATACAGAGAGATTTCTAGCATTGTTCCATGCACAAGTATATTACAACCCAAATTGATTCTTCTCTATCTGACCGCTTCACTACTTCCGGGTCACCTTCCCATATTGACCTCTGTTGTTTTAAGATTACTGTATTAGCTTCTCTGCAGTGGGCACATCAAACACTTTCAAGTTTGGGTTTCCTACCTATCCCCATTCCTCCTGCATGTGCTCTCCCCTTAGTGTGTGACCCAGTCCAAAAATTTTACCGTATTTGCCAGATCTAAAGTCTGCATGTGAGGGAGAACATAGGATTTTTGGTCTTCTGAGCCTTGCTAACCTTGCTCAAGATGATGTTCTCTAGTTCCATTCATTTACTTGCGAATGATAAGATTTCATTCTTCTTCATGGCTGAGTAAAATTCCATTGTGTATAAATAACACATTTTCTTAATCCATTCGTCTGTAATAGGGCATCTTGACTGTTTCCATAACTTGGTTATTGTGAATAGTGCTGCAATAAACATGGGTGCAGGTGCCTCTGGAGTAACCTGTGTCACATTCCTTTGGTTATATCCCTAGAGTGGGATTGCTGGATCATATGGCAATCTATGTTTAGATTTTTAAGATGTCCTCTTTTTTCAGAGTGGTTGCACTAGCTTGCATTCCACCAGCAGTATATGAGGATTCCTCTTTTGCTCCACATCCTCGCCAACACCTGTTGTGGTGGGTTTTTGATGAAAACTATTCTAACACGGGTGAGGTAAATCTTAGTGTGGTTTTGAATTTGCATTTCCTTTATGGCCAGAGATGGTGAGCATCTTTTCATGTGCTTTTGGCCATTTGAATTTCTTCTTTTGATTAAGTTCTGTTTAGTTCAGTTCCCATTCTTTATTGGTTCATGATTTGGGGGAAGTTTAGTTTTTTGAGCTCCCTGTATATTCTGGTTATCAGTCCTTTGTCTGATGTATAGCTGGCAAATATTTTCTCCCACTCTGTGGGTGGTCTCTTCATTTTAGAGACATTTCTTTTGTTGTGCAGAAGCTTTTATTTTATGTAGTCCCATTTGTCCACCCTTTCTCTTAGTTGCTGAGCTGCTGGGGTTATATTGAGGAAGTCCTATACCTATTACTTCCAGACTATTCCCTGCTCTTTCCAGTACTAACTTCAGAGTTTTGGTCTGATATTAAGTCCTTGATCCATTTTGAGTTGATACTAGCACAGGGTGATAAACATGGATCTAGTTTCAGTTTTTTGCAGGCAAATAACCCTTTTCCCAGCAACATTTGTTGAAGAGGCTATCTTTTCTTCATTGTATGTTTTTGACGCCTTTGTCAAAAATAAGGTGGGCATAGCTGTGTGGATTCATATCCGGGTCCTCTATTCTGTTCCACTGGTCTTCATATCTGTTTTTGTGCCAGTACCATGCTGTTTTTATTGCTATTGCTTTGTAATACAGTTTGAAGTCAGGTATGTGATACCTCCAGCATTGCTCTTTTTGCTAAGTATTGCCTTGGCTATTCACAGTCTCTTGTGTTTCCAAATGAAATTTAGGGTAGATTTTTCAATCTCTGTGATGAATGTCATTGGGATTTAGATGGAAATTGCATTGAACATGTAGATTGCTTTTGGTAGTATAGCCATTTTTACTATGTTGATTCTACAACCATGAGCATGGGAGATCTTTCCCCCTTCTGTAGTCTTCCTTGATCTCTTTCTTCAGGGATTTGAAGTTCTCCTTGTAGAGGTCATTCACATCCTTTGTTAATTTACTCCTAGGTATTTGTATCCTGCCACCTTGCTATAGCTGTCTAGGAGTTTGGGGTAGAATTTTTTGGGTCTTTATGATATAGGATCATGTTGTCTGCAAATAGGGATATTTTGAAGTTTCTTTACCTATTTGTATTCCTTTTATTTCTTTTTCTTGCCTGGTTGCTCTGGCTAGGAATTCCAAGACTATGATGAATAGGAGTGGGGAGAGTGGGCACCCTTGTCTCATTCCTGATTTTAGGGGGAATGGTTTCAGTTTTTCCATTAAGTATGATGTTGGCTATAGTTTTGTCATATATAGCCTTTATAATGTTGAGGTACATTCCTTCTATTTCTAGTAATCCACCTTATTTTTAATGTATTTCAATGTGAGTTACAGGAGTCATTATATTTCATCCCCAAATTTTCGGTAGTATATTATTAGAGTTAAATATTTTTATTGCTTTTCTCTTTTGAGGCAGAAATCTACATGTAATGAAATGAATGCGTCTTAAAGTGTACAGAAGCTAGTTTTGCAAAACGCTATTTAACAACTTGTCCTAAGCAATAACATCTGTGAAGTCACAAATTTGATATGACTTGATGTGTTTGTATTTTCTTCATTGAGACACATTTAAAAAAAACTTTTATTTAAAAAAACATTTTAATTAGTGTATTGATAGTTATACAGGAACTTTTGTTGTGACATTTCGTATATACATACGTTATACCCAGGTTTGGTTCATTCCTTCCACAAAATGTTCTTTGATGTTCTATCTAAGTTGTCTGTATTTATCCCAACTTGATTGTTGAAAATAAAATGAGTCCCAGAGAAGTTAGAAATAAAATCACACAGGCATTTTGTAGCACAGCCAGGGGTCTAATCCAAGCCTCCTGACTCCAGTTGAAACACTGGCTTGCCCAGTGGTTGCATCTCATGGTTTGTTTACTTCTTTATGTCTCACCTATTACCTCTGCCACTACTTTCTTCTCCTGGCCTTCAGCTGGGACTGTCTCCCTATCCCCAGCTACACTGGGGATTGAACCCAGGACCTCACATATGCTAGGCAAGCACTCTGCCACTGAGCTAATCCCCTAGCCCTTCAGCTGTTCCCTTGATGTCTTCCTGACCTACTACTTTCCTTCTGTTGGGCTCAGAACATGACACCCTAAAATATGAATCTTAGCAATTGAGAAAATTGTTGAAGCAAGAAGGTCACTACAACTTTCCCCCACCTTTCTGTGTGACAGCTGGCCGGAAGGAATTCTATGATCTACCTCACCCTGAAAGGCCTACTACATTCATTCTGTAGGGGTTCTGCCTTATACCCAGGACCAGGAAGAATCTGGACAGGCCTTGCTGGTCCATTTTTGTTTCTTTTTTTCAGTATGTGTGGGGGTGTTGGGGAACTGAATCAGGCCTTGCACATGCTAGGCAAGTGCTCTGCCACTGAGCTACATCCCCAGCCCAGACTTTTTTTATGTGTGTGTGTGTCCATGATGTTCTACACAATTGCCCATTCTTCATCAAATCTAAGCACTGGGTCATTGGACTTTCTTCTGAATGCTCCCATGTCCCATAAAACTTTTTTTTATTTTTTGGGTACTGGGATTTGAACTTGGGGCCTACACCTTGAGCCACTCTGCCAGTTCTTTTTTGTGATGGGTTTTTTCAGGATAGGGTCTTCTCGAACTATTTGCCTGAGCTGGCTTTGAACTGTGATCCTCCTGATCTCTGCCTCTGAGTAGCTGGAAATACAGGCCCCCAGTTCCCATAAAACTTTAGATACATTTATTATACTTTTTTTTTTTCAGTACTGGGGTTTGAACTCAGGGCCTCATGTTTGGTCTACCACTTGAACCACTCTGCCAGCCCTTTTGTGTGCTGAGTATTTTCAAGATAGGGTCTATTTTGTATTTGCTGGGGTGGCTTTGAACTGCAATCTTCCTGATCTCTGTCTACTGAATAGCTGGGATTACAGGCCTGGGCCACCCACACAGGCTTATACTTTTCTTTGTTAATGTGTTTTCTGTTATGGGAGCATTAGCTATGATCCTGGCAATGGGTGAGGAAAAGACACTCCTTTTTCTCAACTGTACCTTTACCTGCTTCTTCACCTGTTCTGATAGCTCTGATTCCTCACTTCTTTCCTCTCCAGAATGTTGGAAGTGCTTATTGGAAGAGTTCGATCCATCAAGAACACTCACTTCACCCCAGTACCCTGATCCTGAGCCCACAGAGGGGCACCTCCATATAACAGCACTCCTGCGCAGATTCAGCATACCACCCTTCTACCAGGATCACTGCCCTTGGACAAAGCGTTCACCCATATCATTGAAACTACGATGCCCACTTTGGGCTATAGTCTAGAAACTGGGCCTGAGGCTGAGGGGAACCATAAACGTCTGGAAGAAAAAGCAGGTCCGACAGCTGGGACATCAATCATAGCGCCAGTACTGTCTCTCCTGGTCATCATCTTCTTCCTCACTGGAGTCCTCTTGTACGTGCTGTGTAAGAGGAAGAGGAGCAGTCGCAGCAGTACACTCCAGGTGAACTGACTTGTTAACCTCTCCCCCAGAGACCCAGAAAGTTCCTGGCAGGTATCCTGCCTCTAGCAGTTCTCAGGTGGCTGGAAACCTAACCCAGGCACACATAGGCTGCACTATGGACCATAGGCTGTGAAGGAAAGAGGGAAGCCACCATAGGACTAGGGATCAGTGCTTGGAATAACATGAAAAAAAGATGGCAGCTAAGCAGGCTAGTGGGAGATGATGCTGTGAAGGCAAGGGCTATTTATTCAATTCACAAGTCTATATTAAGCACTTACTATGTACTAGATCCTAGGATTAATGTCTTAGCATCTGATTCTCCAGTTTAAGCTATAACCCCCTTCCCCCAACTCTTGATCTCAGAGCTCTTCTCTCAATTTCTTTATCCTTTCCAGATTTGAAGCACCATTATATACCTGTGACATCAGACTCCAATGCCTGAAGCCAAGAATGGAAAGCTTGTGAGACTACCTACATCTCCAGCCCAGACAGACAGACATTTTTTTTTTTTTTTTTGAGATAGGGTCTCACTATGTAGTCCAGGCTGGTTTCAAACTAGACCCTCCTGCGTGTTGGGTTTACAGGTTCGTGACACCACACTTGGCTTGAGTTACTTTTGTAAAGCTCTGTGTAATTAATACAATTTCTGGCACATACTAGGCATTCTTAACAATAAATGACTAGCTTCACTGTCTTCTCTTAGTACTCTCCTCCCCCCACCTTTTAAAGATGATGCAGTTCTATTAAAAATCTGGGGTTTGGGGTACAGCTCTGTGGTATAGTGCTTGCCTAGCATGGGTGACATTCTTGGTTTAATTCTCTACACTGCCAAAAAATAAATAATAATAATACCTGACTTTTACACAGTATAATGGCAGGCTGGAAAATTCCAAATTCCACATGTGGGTCTTTTTGGTGGTACAAGAGGTTGAACACAAGGAGATACTCTACCACCTGAACCATGCCCCCAGCCCCTTTTGGTTTAATCATTTTTCAGTAGGGTCAGCCTGGATTGACATTCTCCTACTTAAGCTTCCTGGATAGCTGGGATGACTAGCACACAACACCATGACTAGATTTTTCATTAAGATGTGGTCTAATTTTTTGCCCAGGCTAGCCTTGAATCACAATCTTCCTAATCTCTCCATCCCTTGTAGCTGGGGTTACAGGTGTGAGCTACTGCACCTGGTTCTCTCATGTGTTTTTAACTCTTAAAAATTACTCTTAGAATTACTGACTCTTCTTTATGCAGACATTGGTTTCAGATCCTTATTCCTTCCCATGACTGCTGGCTTCAGTTTCTTGCTGATGGTTCCCTGGGTCACAAGTTTCCTTTCATGCACTAGCTGTTGCTCCCCAATTCCACACTTAAGGCCTGGGCTTTCCCAAACTTCCCTCCTCAGTGGCTTCTGTGCTGATGCCATAAAATCTCAATCTCTTATATCACTCATATATACCCCAGTGAGAGTCTGATCTCCTTTTTGGAAAATTGTTATTGCTTTATTAAAATTCTTAGTTCTTGTTTTGTTTCTTCCAACAAAGGAAGAGTATATCTTCCTTGGCCAGGTTTCCAGGAAGCCTGGGACAGGAGCATGACATGCATGAGGAAGTGGGTTGGGCAGGTGAATCTCCAGCTCCTGTCTAAGCTTGTGTAGTGGAAAGCAGGAGCACCATGCTGGAGGAACCAGGGCACAGCTGTGGGAAGGCTTGGGCTTTAGTTTTTCCATTTCCACCTTCTGCCCCTTTTGTCCTAGTATACTCTTGACCAGCAGGGCACGTATGAATGCCTCAGTCCACACCTCTCATCCTACAGGTCTCTAATTCTGTCAGGTTCAGTCATGGTCTCCTTCCATGCTCTGGATTCACTTCCTTGGCTTAGTTCTCCAGCATCTGCTCACAGGTTCGCGCCACATCACTGAGCTTGAGGCGGGCATAGTCTACTCGCTTCAGAGCCATTTGACAGTCTTTTCTTGAAGAGTAGCTGGAGCCCTCATGGGGCTGCCCTGTGGCCACCTACAGCACAGTTAGACTGATCAGTGGAGCACTGCCTCCCTTACCCATCCCTTAACCAGGTATCATTTCTCTTGTCTCATTTCTTCCTTGAGTTTGATCTATTCAGCTAGGCAACCCACTTCATTTCTGTTAACCTCATCTGTAAAGTGAGGGTGACAGTAATGGCTTTCTAGAGTAGTTATAGAACAAGTTAATGCAGAGTGTCTGGCACACCATAAATTCTAGTAAATGGTGGTAGCTGTCCAAGGACTTCAGAATCCTCTTAATACTGCCTCTTTTCTCGGGATATGCACGTCTGGGGCCTCATGCCCTGGCGTCAGGCCAAGAGCAAGTTCTGTGGCTTTACTATAGTTTTTGCTCTCTTTTCCAGGTACTTTCCCGTTAGTGGCTCAGGTGATGCCACCTGGGTAGGCAGGTCACCTTTACTTCTTTCCTTTTAGAGAAATAAAGCAGCCTGGGAAGGCAGGGGTCTGCCCGATCCGGGTGGTGCCGGGTCGGGGTGGAGGCCTGATCCTGCCCCGCTAATACTCGGCCAGGGAGTCCCTAAGGCTAAGGCTGAAGTCAGAGGCTGGGGTCGGCGTGCAGCGCCTCCCAGATACACCCACCTGCGTGAGGTAGCGGATCTGAGCCGACAGCTCCGCCTCCACGTGCTGCACCGATGCTGTGAAGGCCGCCGCCTGCCGGTCGAGGAGTCGCTCGTTGGTTTTTTCCTTCGACAGTTCTAGGATCACGGTCCCTGCGGGGCGGAGAGAGGGCGGGGCTAGCCGGAGACTGGCAGTACAGCCCCGCCCTAGGTCAACCGCTTCCCGCTCCCCACTTTCGCCGCGCACGCACTTAGGATCCCTCCCCAACCACTCGCCGAGTCTCCGGTCAGCGCATGTGCAGGAGCCATGGTGCCCCTGCCATTCACTCGTCGCATCCCGAACCTGCATTCTGGAGGATGGCGCCGATTTCCCGTTCGATGTCTTCCAGGGCGCGAAGTCGCTCATTCGCTAGGCTATAGGTAGCCATGATTCCTCTAGGAAACCTCCTTGGGATTCTGTGCGACCCTGGCGTCCGGAAATGGCTGTCGGCCTGCGCCTGCGCAGAGGGCACTGTGGCAAATACTCCAACTCCCAGGATGCACAGCTTGGTCTCGCCTTTCTCTGTTCATCTGGCGAACTACAATTCCCAGGGTGTCTTGCGCCTGGCCAGGTCGGATCCTCAACCTCCAGACCACCTGGTGGTAAGAGGTGGTATTGAAATAGGCACTGCCCTGAGGCCATTCAGATCTGTCCACCAAGAAATTTATTAAGAATTCTACAAGGATTTTATTAAGTGTCGATTGAGTGCCAGGTGATGATGGTGAGAATTCGAGGGTATTCTCCAGACTGGATAGTCATGGGCCAACCCGCTCCGCCCCCCAAGGAAAATGTGACTTGGTGAGTATTACATTATTCTCCCTGACCATGAACACAGTTGAAACACAGATTATCCATATGTTCTCGGATGCTGGCTCCTTCCAGCCTTTTTCCCTTTCCTTTTCTGAATACCTGTTATGTGCTAAGCTCTGGGGATGTAAAGATGAATGAGATGTGCTGAGAGGGTGTATGGCAAGGAGCACAGAGAATTCTCAGAGAAATGCTGCTTGAATTGAACCAAAGAGGGCTAAGTGGGTGAGAGGTTGGAGTGGAACAGGGGATTAGCATAGGCAAGCACAAGGTGCTGTGAAGGACCCAGCACGTTTGGAATCCAGCAAAGAGTTTAGTTTGAGTGGAGTGAATGGAGTGTGGTGGTACTTAGGTGTGACAGTGGCAGAACTGGAGGGAAGAGCTCCAGGAAAAGTCTTGCAAAGTAAGTAATTTGGATTTTATTCTGAAGGTATTTGGGAGACTTGCGAAATTTTAAGCAGTGTGTGATGATCAGACTTAGCTTTTTTTTGGAAGGATCACTTTTTGGTTGGTTTTTTTGGAGGCACTGGGGTGTGAACTCAGGGCCTCCTCATTCTTGCTAGGCAGGTACTCTGACCACTTGAACCACTCCACCAGCCCTCTTTTGTGATGGGTTTTTTTTGAGATAGGGTCTCAAAAACTATTTGCCTGGGGCTGGCTTCTCGCCTTGATCCTCCTCATCTCTGCTTCCTGAGTAGCTAGGAAACAGAGCCACTGGCACCTGGATGGAAAGATCATTCTTGAGAAGTTACAGAAGATCAAGAGTGAAATCAGCAGTGGGTGTGTAGCTCAGTGGTAGAGTGCTTTCCTATCATACAGGAGGCCCTGGGTTTCAACTGCAGTCTGCAGAAAACAACATAAAACACAACAACAACAAAATACCAGTTTTCACAGGATTATCAAATGCATTAGAGACTCAGTTAAACTTGATGGAGCTAGCATTTAACTTAATTCTTCCCTAAATCCTAATAAAATAATAATAAAGATATTTTTAAGAGTGGTCAAGGAGCTTGTCACAGGGGCTCAAATCTGTAATCCTAGTGAGGGAGGCAGATATCCAGAAGAGCAAAGTTCAGGGTGATCCTGAGCAAACAGTTCATGAGACCCCATCTCACCCAATGGCTGGATGAAGTGGCATGCCTGTCATTCCAGAGACAGGGAAAACACAACTAGGAGAATCGAGACGGGCCATAAAATGAGACCTATCTCAAAAACAGACAACGATAAATAAGGGCCGGCACAGGGCTCAAGTGACAGAGCACTGCTGTGTCTAGAAAGCACAGCAGGCCCTGAATTCAACCTTTAGTACTGACAAAAAAAAAAAAAAAAAAGCCAAAGAGAAAGGGACAGGAGTTAATAGCAAGATTTTAGTTAGAATCTAGAAAACAGAGGCTAGGTGGTAACTGATTTAATTGTGAAGAAAGCTTAGGAAGGGCACTGATTTACCCTTAAATTAGTGGCACTGTTTACAACTTGGGTGAAGATGGTACTAAAATTGATTGGAAGGATTTTCACAGTAGTTAGACTGCTAGATCTTCCTAACTTTGTGTATCTTGGCAGCTACTCTCCCTCCAACCCACTAGAATACTGGATATTTCTACGTTGGAAATGGGGAGCAGGGTTTTTAGTTTAGAGGGCACCTGGGCACAATTGAAGGTAAGAGCAATGCATTGAAAACAGATTGAGTAAAAATTTAAATTCCAAATGGTGGTTTCTATAACTGGCAACCAAGATTGCCATTAGAGTCTGGAAGATACTCCTCAGGGAATTTGATTAGTCAGAGAAAAACCTAATTAACATCAGGGGTTCTCCAACAGGCAGTTAGATGACACCATTGTGAAATTCCTACTTGGTAAGTCCCAGCTCTGTACATGGAACTTCCAGTCAGCTTCTTAGCACTTCAGGGCTTCATACTTTCAAAGCAGGCACTCTAGTGCCTGAGCCACACCTCCAGTTTTCTCTGGTTATTTTGGGAATGGGGGTCTGGAGAACTATTTACCCAGGCTGGCCTTGAATCTTGATCCTCCTTTTCTCAGCCTCCAAGTAACTAGGTTTACAGATGTAAGCCACTGATGCCCAGCTGGCCAACAACTTGTGATACTCTTGCCTCAGCCTCTTGAATACTGGGAGTACAGGTGTGTACCACTATACCCAGCTAGCACCTTACTCTTACATATGAGCAGACAGCAAAGGATTTCCAGATATTTGAAGAAACTTCTATATGAAAGATATAAACCCAGGAGAAAACAACTTTTGGGGCTCTTAGATAAAAGATACTATAAAAAAAAATTAGCTGAGAAGTGATGGCTCACATTTGTAGTTACTGAGGCTGAGGAAGGAGGATGACTTGAGCCCAGGAGTTTGGGGCTAGCCTAGGCAGTAAGCAAGTCTGTGTGTCTGCCTACCTGCATGCTTGCCTGTCTGTCTGCCTCTCTCTCCCTCTCTATTTTGAGACAGGGTCTGGTGATGTAGCCCAGGCTGACCTTGAACTTTTGATCCTCTTGCCTCACCCTCTTGAGTGATGGAATTATAGGCATGAGACACTATGTCCAGCTTTCTACCTCATATTAAAAAAAAAGAAAAGAAAGAAATTAAAATAAAAGGGTGGGGGATGGAATTCAAGAAAACACACTTGAAATATCAAACTATAAGGGAAAGGATGAAAAGTCCATCACTGGTTGGAAGAGAAATTGAGGAGCTCTCCTAGCAAATTAAAGAAATGAAAAGAGATGGTACATAGGAAAGAAAAGAAAGTCAGAGAATCAGTTCATCGGGCTTAAATTTTTGAAGAGGAAAAAGGGTCTTGAGCTTTTGGATTAAAAGGGCTCATCAAGTGCCTGGTGCAATAGAAAAAAACAGACCCACCTATCAGAACACTAGGCTCAGTGAAAGGCGTATTAGAAAAACTTTCAGAGAAAAAGCAGACCACATGCTAAAGATCAGCAATCAAAATTGAGCATAAGCTCTCAAAAATTTTCTCCTATATGCACCCTTTCTCAGGAAATTATTGAAATTAGATCAGAGAGGAAGATAGAGCTTTAATCAGAGAGGAATTAAAGCTTTAATTCATGAAAGGTGACTGGGCACCCCAGGACTGTGGCTAAGGGAATCTAGGGAGCAGGCATAAGAAAAATCCAATCTATTATAAGGATTCTGGAGAGATTTCTTCGAGGAGAAGAAAGAGATGAACATCTGCTTTGTTTTGAATGAATCAAAGTAATAGGTAGACTTTGGGAGAGAGTGTAGTGCTGAATTAGTGATAAATTCAGAGAATAAGCAAATTTTAAAAATGATCATTATTCAGAGAAAAGAAAGTTGTGTAAGAAGAGAAAAGCAATCATGAAAGAGCACATGACTCAACTATAAATAATCTTTGCATAGCTCTAAGTGCTGGATATTGATCTAACCCCAGTTGATACAATTCTCTTGGGAAGAATGGGGGTGGGACAGGATGGAAAGCATTTCATGGTGATCAGGGGGCCAGAGGGCTCAGTTTTGACCTTCTGTGGTGGGAAGCCAGCAGATGATACTTAAAACAAAAATCAAGAAGGAGCAAATAAGTGTGTGTGTAGCAGTGTAAATGCCAACAGAAACATCTAAAGGAGGTGAAAGCATGGAAGTCCAGGAAATCATCAGAGACTACTTTGAGAACCTATATTCAAATAAATTTGAAAATCTAAAAGAAATGGACAGATTTCTAGATACATATGATCATCCAAAACTGAACCAAGAGGAAATTAATCACCTGAATAGACCTATAACACAAAATGAAATTGAAGCAGCAATCAAGAGTCTCCCCAAAAAGAAAAGTCCAGGACCTGATGGATTCTCTGCTGAATTCTATCAGACCTTTAAAGAAGAACTGATACCAACCCTCCTTAAACTGTTCCATGAAATAGAAAGGGAAGGAAAACTGCCAAACACATTTTATGAAGCCACTATTACACTTATCCCAAAACCAGGCAAAGACACCTCCAAAAAGGAGAACTATAGGCCAATCTCCTTAATGAACATTGATGCAAAATCCTCAACAAAATAATGGCAAACGAATTCAGCAACACATCAAAAAGATTATTCACCACGACCAGTAGGCTTCATCCCAGGATGCAGGGGTGGTTCAACATACGAAAATCAATAAACGTAATAAACCACATTAACAGAAGCAAAGACAAAAACCACTTGATCATCTCAATAGATGCAGAAAAAGCCTTTGATAAGATCCAACATCATTTCATGATAAAAGCTCTAAGAAAACTAGGAATAGAAGGAAAGTTCCTCAACATTATAAAAGCTATATATGACAAACCTACAGCCAGCATTATACTTAATGGAGAAAAATTAAAACCATTCCCTCTAAAATCAGGAACCAGACAAGGATGCCCACTATCTCCACTCCTATTCAACATAGTACTGGAATTCCTAGCCAGAGCAATTAGGCAAGAAGAAGGAATAAAAGGAATACAAATAGGTAAAGAAACTGTCAAAATATCCCTATTTGCAGACGACATGATCCTATACCTTAAAGACCCAAAAAACTCTACTCAGAAGCTTCTAGACATCATCAATAGCTATAGCAAGGTAGCAGGATATAAAATCAACATAGAAAAATCATTAGCATTTCTATACACTAACAATGAGCAAACGGAAAAAGAATGTATGAAAACAATTCCATTTACAATAGCCTCAAAAAAAATCAAATACCTAGGTGTAAACCTAACAAAAGATGTGAAAGACCTCTACAAGGAAAACTATACACTTCTGAAGAAAGAGATTGAGGAAGACTATAGAAAGTGGAGAGATCTCCCATGCTCATGGATTGGTAGAATCAACATAGTAAAAATGTCGATACTCCCAAAAGTAATCTACATGTTTAATGCAATTCCCATCAAAATTCCAATGACATTCATTAAAGAGATTGAAAAATCTACTGTTAAATTTATATGGAAACACAAGAGGCCACGAATAGCCAAGGCAATACTCAGTCA